CAGCCTCCTAAGTAGCTGGTACTAGCAGCACACACAACCACGCCTGGCTAATTTTTCTTATCTTTTGAAGAGACCGCATCTTGCTATGTTGCCCAGGCTCATTACTAAAAGTTTATGGGAATACTGCCACATGTGTTCATTTACCTGTTGTCTATGGTAACAAAGGCAGAGATGAAGAGTGACAACCCAGGCCACAGGGCTCACAAAGCCTAAACTGTTTACTATTTGGCCCTTTAAGGAAAAGTTGCTGACCCCTGAAATACAGGATGATGCAATGCTGCAACCTTAGGCAGCTGGAGGGATGGCAGAAGAGCAGAGGCAGATTTGGGCAAGTGGGACAAAAAATAAATATGTGTTAGGGCATGTTGAGTTTGAGGATCTTGAGACACATCCAAGAGACAGCAGGAAGATGTGTATGGACTACAGGTAAAAGATCAGGATTTGAACAACGGATTTGGGAATCATCAGTGGGCAGAGGGTGGTTGAAGCTACAGGCGAAGGTGAGATAACCCAGGGGAAATCAAACAGGGGACAAAGCGGGTGAAGACAGAACCCCACAAAACACTGCTGTAAACAATTAGGAAAGCCCAAGAAGGGGCCTGAAAAAGAGTAAGTCAGAGACACAGGGGACAAATTCAGTGTGGATAAGGTCAAGGGGGAAAATAAATTCCAAGGCAAAGAGAAAGCTGAACAATGCAAAATGCCTCCAAGAGCCCCAGTAGAAGTGGACTGAAAAGGAGACTGTGAAATTTGGGGACCTCAGCCAGGGATGTCACTTAAATAGTGGGAACAGGATAGGCTCTACAGTTGGCTTCCAGGATGCCACATTCTCCTGGTTTTCTTCCTATAACACTGACCCCTATTCTCCTTCTGAGTCTTTCTCGCTGGTTCCTCCCCATCTCCTACCTTGTAAATGTTGGAAAGCCGTGGAGCTCAGTCCTTGCACCTCTTCTGTTTTCTATTCATGCTCTCTTCCTCAATGACCCCATTCAGTCTCAACGCTTTAAATAAACACGCCTACACACCGTTGTTTCTCCAGCCCAGACCCCTCTCCTGAACTAGACTTGCAGAACTGTAAACGCAACATCTCCACCTGGAAGTCCAGTAGGCACCACTAACTAAACAAATCCCAAACTGAGCTCTTCCTCCGCAGACCAGCTTCTCCTGTGGGATTCTCCAACTCAGTTAAAATCAATTATTAACAGTTTACCCTTGGACAACATGGGTTTGAAGTGCACAGGTCCAATTATAGTTCAGTTTTTTTCAATAAATATATTAGAAAAATTTTTGGAGACCTGCAAAAATATGAAAACTTTGCAGACAAACCAAGAAGCCTAGAAATATTGAAAAAACTAAGAATTTAGGTATGTCATGAATGCATAAAATATACATAGATACTAGTCTATTTTATTATTTACTACTATGAAATACACACAAAACTATTATAAAAAGTTAAAATTTATCAAAACTTACACAGAGTATACATGTAAGCAAACATAAAGATGCAGTATTAATTATAACTGCATAAAATTAACTGTTCATACTGTACTACTGTAATAATTTTGTAGACACCTCCTGTTGCTATTGCAGGGAGATCAAGTGTTGCAAGTATTCACTTAAAATGCTATGTGATGCTAATTCCTCTCTCTAGTAAATTGCATGTCACAGTTAAAAGTGATCTCTTTCTATTCTCATGTATTTTTTATTATATTTAATGCAATATCATAAATCTTGAATTACACCATGGGACCCATACAAATTGCCACTAGTGATGCTGAAAGTGCTCCCAAGCAGCAGATAAAAATCATGATTTTACAAGAAAAAGTTGAGTTGCTTGATATGTATCAAAAATTGAGGTCTGTAGTCATTTCGGATAGAGATTAATCTTATAAACAGACAACATAAACACAGTATAGTACTATAAAAGTATTTTCTGTTCCTTAGGATTTTTTAACATTTTTTTTCTCTAGCTTACTTTATTATAAGAATACAATATACAATACATATACAAAATATGTGTTCATGGACTGTTTATGTTATCAGTAAGGCTTCCAGTCAGCAGTAGGCTATGAGAAGTTAAGTTTTGGGGAATCAAAAATTATAGGTGCATTTTTGACTGTGCGGGGGATCAGTGCCCCTAACCCCCACATTGTTCAACGGTCGACTATATCCTAACATGTATTGTGTCTTTCCAATTGTTGTGTCCCACAGTGGGACAGAGCAAACATGGAATGAATGGGAATCCTTGGGCCCAGGAGAATTCTGTGCTGAAACACTGATATAATTTGTGGACAGACCAGTGTCAGTGATCCTGAGGAATGAAGAATGAGAGGTTTTAAAACACCAGGCGGAAAGCAGAAGGTGCAGTCTACAAAGCAAAAAGCTATGAGCTTATGCAGGATGCAGAGCAAGACCCGGCCTTACTATTACTGAAGAGATGGTTAGTGTGCCCTGGCCAGGGACAGCACTGATCGCACACCCAGCACCCACTAAGAACAGTGCTTTCAGACCAACCTCACCACCTTCTTTGACTGGACTCACAGAACCACTACCCTCCAGCAGCAAGCAGTTGGAGCTGGGTGGTGGCCAGCCCCTCTGGAAGAAGCCATCTGCTCTTCCAAACCATTTACAGCCACTGGATTAGCTAATAGATTGAATGACAGAATCCGGACTTTACAGTTAAGTAGAACAAGGATAAAAATAAGATCTTGCACCTGGTTTGAAAGATAGGGAAGGATACAGTTTAGGAGCGACAAATGTAAAAATGTCCTCAAGCTGATAACAAGTTTAATGAGAGATAATAGCGTGATATGCCTGACAGAATAGAGAAAAGCGACCTTACTTGCATTAAAAGGACATGGTGTCTGTGCGAGCCTAAGGGAAGTAACGGTCCTGTTCGAATCTGGGCTGGCTAGCTTGCACTACATTGACTTCTGGGCAGCTCACTTGGAGGGGGTCTGCTAGGTATTCCCCATTTCCCCCCACTCCCTGCTGTGGTCTATTCTCTGTATTGCTCTGTGCCCTAGAGAACTGGCACCTATATAACGCATCACTGAGATCCCCTTACCCGGGCGGCTTACCGCTGGGTTCAGCCAATGGGAAGCACCAGCAGGAGATGCAATGGCAAAAAGGGAGAGAACATGCAGAATGCATGTTTCTTGTGCCACCCTCTCCCTGCTCCAGCTGCAGATTTCCAACAGTGGCAGCATCCCTCTATGACTATAGTTCCTGGTGGGCAGCCCTCCTCCGTGGCTCCAGCTTTGAATGGGTTCCCAGTCTGCTTCCCTTCTCCCTTCCCCCTGCTGCTAGCCCCTAGGTACCCCAGCATCCCTTCTTGGTTCCTTCACCCTGCCCACGGCTCCAGAAATAGTCCCTTCCCTAAATTATTGCCAAAATCCCAACTAGGTTGGCTTTCTGTTTCCTGCAGGGACCCTGAGTGAAATGGAAGAGACAGGATGCCAGAGGGCCTTAAAATCGTGTCTATGAGGACCAGCTGTAGGAACGGAGGATATTTAGCCTGGTGGAGGGAAGATTCCAGAAAGCAAGGTAGACCATTTGAAAAAGGTGAAAGGCCACCATCACACTCATTTCCTGGCTCCACAAATAGCAGTAGGTACAGAGAGACCAACTTTTGACTAAATATAAAGTTAACTTTCCTATGGAGTTGGTAACGGTGAGGTGAATACTCCCGGGAGGTCACGAGCTTCAGTAATTCTCAGTTGCCCAGTTTAAACGTGATGAGCCTCTGTCAGGAATACTGTAGAAAAAAGTTAGAAAGATAGTCTAGAAAAGGGCTTTCTAAGAAGCCAGGATTTCATGATTTGCTATCAACTGTACACTACTCAGTGGGTTACTAAGATAACCAAACTGTGGGGGGGGGTAGTTTTGGGGGTACACCTTGCTGCTCCTCCTTTCAATCTAGAGAAGTCTGGTTCTTTGTGTCAAGTTTGGTAATTCCCAACACTGAAGTTGTTTTTACGCTTTAAGATAACTCAAGAACACGAACACAAAACTTCTTTTACATCTCAGCATCACAGCTTTCAAAAGATTATTTTCAATGCACTGAGCAGTCTATTTTAAAAAAAGTTTTTAACCCAGCAACTTCTCTCTGCACACAGATCACTAACTGTACTTCTTGAGAACTGGCTCCTCATTTTTCAAACCTAAAACCAGGAAGCAAAATCTGCCCAAGGGACAAAATAGTTTACATGCAAACCATCCTAGAAAAAAACAAGGTCGCTTCAGTTCACTCTGGTGAGAAAAAGAAAATGGTTTTTGCAAAAGCCCTGAACACCTAGGTCCACAGCAGGGGCATGGTCCATGTCGCTAAGCTTGTGTGTCTACCCCAGGCTTTCTCCATGCGTGGGAGTCTATCATTTACTATACTGCAGGAACGCTAGGACAGCCAGTTTTTTCACTCATTCATTCAACAAACATTTGATGTTGATCTACTCCATGAACAGAGCGCTACTGGGCCTTGGGGCTGGACAAAAGATCCAGAGGCCAACGCTGCAGCTAGAGGCCTGCAGCAGGTCTAGGACACGACCTGATTTCAAAGACCAATGAAGGCAAAGCGCGACAGTGACGGCGCCCAGAAAGTTTCCGCAGAAACTTGGGAAATGCCAGCCTCCGGGAGCGGAGAGGGCGGGGGCCCGGGCCCCCCGTTGGACGCCGCCTGCGGGCCGGGGCTGGGCCTGGGCTCCGGTCCGGCCGCCTCCGGATGCCACGCGGCGCCCGCCCACGGCCCAGCCGGCACGTCGGCCTGGTCCCAGGCCCAGGAAGCCGGCGCCCGGGCGGGGCCGCCTCGATGGCCCGCGGGCGCAGGGCCGCAGTGCGGGGCGGGCGTCGCTCCGGCCCGACGTGCCCGGGAGGCGCGCGCACGCACCGCCGCAGGTCCCCCGCGCAGGACACCCACGGCGCGCTTCCGCCCGGCCCGGCGACCCGGCCCCTCCAGCCGCCCGGCCCCGACCCCGCTGCTCGCCCGGCCGGGCCGTACTCACCCTCCTTGGCTTTCTTCCTCCGGGCCAGAGTCCCTCCGAGTTTCCCCAAGAAGGAGTCATCTTTCTTGCGGGAAGGGGGCGACTTGGGAGTGGGGGACTTGGGGGCTGAGGGCGACTTCTGCGGGGACGTGGCCATGGCAGCGGCGCGGGCAGCCGCGGGCCGGTCGGGACGCGGAGCAGGCGCTGGGCGGACGCGGCGGGCGGCGGCGGGACTGAGGCTGCGGCTTTCCAAACGGAAGCGGAATTATTCCAAGCATTTGAGGCAGCTCACGCTCGCCTTTCCCTTCCCTCGCTCCCTCCCTCGCGCCGCCCTCCGCCCTGGAAGGCGCTGCGCTCTCGGGGCCGCGCCCCGGCCCGGCCTGCGCCCCTGCGCTGCGCTGCCCGGAGCAAGGAGGGTGCCCCAAATCTGCCCCATGCAGGACGTGCGGCTGTGTGTGCGCGTGTGTGTAACCCTCCAGGCTGGGTGCGCTCGATCCTGAAAGCTTCATTTCCCCAGGCTCTGCACCCAGCATACAGCCTGGCACCAACGAGGATCTGAACAGAGCCAACCCTGCTATTCTGTCTCCCAGTGCCTTCCAGCGGGCTGCCTGGGGGAGCTCGCTTGTCCCCTGCATTGCTGCTTGTGCAGTCACTAGGCCCCTGTCTTATGCCGGTGAGAGGAGCCAGTTCCTGGAAGAAATGATTGGAGTGAGCTGCAGTATGTTCAGACGCCGCCGAACTGGGCACAACCAACCACTCGTGCGCTTGTCCGTGGCGGTCAGCCTCCTCTTCTCCACGCCCACCCCAGACTGGGAAGTTTGGGGTTCATCAGGCCAGGGCCAAGGCTGCTGCTGCTTGGAGGATATCCTTGTTTCTCGCAGCTCAGTGGCTTAGGCAAAGGAAGACCCCAAATGTGGAAACGTGAATGGGAAAAGCACAACCCTGGTCTCATGTGAGACGCCCTTCCCCCAAGTTTATCCTGCCTAAATAAAAGCAATGGAGTGACTGCCAGACTCATTTGGGATAACAGAGGAGTCACACAAAACACAGTATTTCAAGGATGCATACTGGAAATAATTAAAAGGCACATTTTATCGCGCTTTCCCGCCTCAAGTTCTCAGTTGGGCTCTTGTGTCTGTCTCACTCACACAGCGCCTTGGCAACGGTCTTGCCTCCTTCTGGCCCCTTCCCTCTAGCTACAGCTGACTGCAGAGCAGCCAATCCCCAGAGCCTCAGCTTAGACTCTGAGCTAAGCTGAAGAGACTGTTGTCAGAAGTTGAGCACTTGGCTGATGGTCGTGCAGAGTCAAGACTGGGGCGTCCATTTTTAGCTACCTGCATGCTGAAGTGTAGAGAAACAAAAGAATGGAGCAAAGAAGTGTGCTCTAGAAGGCATGTGCTCTGAGCAGTGGGAAACCCTGGGAGTAGCTGTCTGGATCTTCCATCTTTTCCCAGCCCCCACTGGCAGTTCCCCTAGGGGCCAGCTGTGCATGCTTCCCAGGAAATGTTACTGAAGCCTTTTATTAACTCATTTCTCTCACCTTTGCTGGGACTAATCAGCAAACAGGCAACAATATCTGAGTAGAACTGAAATTTAACAAACGAGATAATAGATTCTCAACACAGTATAGGTTCATTTCATCTTGGCTTGAAAGTAATAATTTTATTTTTTTTGAAAATTATGCTTTAGGTGGTGCCTCTTACCTAACAGCAGAGAAGTCCTGATGTTGGCTAGCCTGGGAAGATTACTACACCCCCACCACCACCACCACCACTATAAATCTTAAAGAGATAGTGAGAAACCAAAATAGAATTGTGTTTTCTTATCACACATTATTTATCATTTTTGTCAGATACATAAAGACAAAATCTGATCTCCAGCCCTAGAGGCTCTTGTCAGGGGATTAAGAGATATGCCACTCAATAGCTGTGTGATCTTGGATTCCATTTCTGAGTGAGTCTCCATTTCCTCATCTACAAAATGAAGCGGTTAGAACAGGTAGAGGTTCTCAAATAGGATCGTGCATCACAATCCCCTAGGAGTTTGTTACAAACATTCACACGCCCCATCTCCAGAAATCCTGATTCAGTACATCTGAGGTGAACCCAAGGGATAGAGACAGATCCCATTAGATGATTTTGACATAGCCGATTCACGTGCTGGTGTTTGAGCATTTAGGACTGCTTCCAGCTCTAACATTCTATGGTTCTCTATTCTTTCACAATTGCTCATATCTGTATCTCATATCTGTATATAGGGCTTAGGACATAAATATGGCTTGATCAAAATTATCCATGGAGATTCTTTAAGTTCTCCGTGCATGCATTCAGATATATAACCCTCTTTGACAAGTTTTATGCTCACTAAACCTAGAAAGCCACTGGGCAAGACTGAAAGAGCAAAATCTTGATTGTTGAATGCTGGCTCCTAGAAAATGCCAGCAAAATAAGCTTTCTCCAAAGCAAAGCTGAACTTATTGTACACCATGATAAGGAGAGTCCTGCCTTGGCAGAGTCTTAGTAGCATCTTAGAATTAGGGGAAGGCAAAGTGGGGATATGTCTGAGGTTTGGGAACCTGTTTTAATGCAGACCTTCAATGGGGTGGTGTGATTAGCTTTGGCTAAGGACCATGTTATAATAGTTTAGGACTGATGGACCCAAGGCCCAGCTTTCAGAGTAAATAGTAAATGAGAGTACATAGTCTTTTTAATGCTATCTATTAAAAAATGTAAGGGTTTTATGTTCATTTCAGTGCGATTTGGGGAGAAACTCTTGAAAAGAACATGAAAGTTATTTGCAACTTTTTTCTTCTTGGGCAAGAGTTTTTAAAAATAAAGATAGGGGAATGATAAAGTACTATTAGTGTAGATAGTAACCTGTATTGGCATGAATGGTTTCCAGGGTCTCAATATTATACAGATATCTTGTTCAAACCTTTCTGCCTGTGAAATAATTGTTAGTTCTTGAAAGGCCAGTGGGGAAATGGGTGGTGAATTATAAAACAGTGCTACTTAAAATGTTGTCTACAAGTTTTGATCCAGATATTGTCATTAGTCAATTATATAGAGAGAAATTGATAGTTTTTAGAAAGTTGGTAGCAATTTAACAATGCAATTTTATGTCTGTTTAATAAAATTTGTAAGCTAATATTTTGAATATCTTTTCATTGTATTTTTCTAGTAATTCTTTTTTATCGTATTTTACAAAAATATTGGTCTGTGATGGATTGGTCCTTTACCACAGATCACTTAAGAGGCACTGTTCTCCCCAAGTATTATAAAGGATATCCATGTAACAATAACATTTGTACTCACTTCATATTTTAAAATTTTAGAAAACGGCACTGTTTTAAATTTCTCCTACTTACTTACAGAGTTCATATACTCTTTTGATACAACGCTTTAGAATCCTTAAGGACATGAATTGATCTGGGTTTTATTTAGAAGATTAAATGAAATAATATATGGAAAAGCACCATCCACAAGGCCCAGCACTGAAGCAGACTGAATCTAAATCTTGTTTAATCAGAGACATATGCCACATGCTGTTCTTCAATAACATGGGGACAAGAACTTGCACCAGCTCCCTCCAATCTAAATTGGTATTTGCAATTATAGCCCCACTGAATGGCTGCCCCTGTTGTGGTGGTCATTGCTTTCATCTTATCCCAGGGTTAGATTATAAGGAAAGTTCATAAAGTACATGTGTGATGTATGAGACTCTGCTGACTCTCTTTGAAATCTAGGGCAAACTACACTGGGGAGAGGATCTACCCAGGTTCTAGTCCTGCTAAGCAGCTAGGTGATCTTCAACAAATCTCTTCCTTTTCTGCAATTTTTTCCCCATCATCTATAAAATGAAGCCGAGGCAGTACCTACTAAAGTGGAACATCAGTCATACCTTGTGATCAACAATTTCAATTCTAGGTTGACCCAACAAAAATGAGTACATGTGTGCATGCAGTTACATGCTGTAGAAAGTTCATAGCAGCACCATTCAAATGCCTATTAACAGTTGCATTGATAAATAAATGGATAGTCACAGCAGTGAGGATGAATAATTTGCAACTACAATAGGACTGTATCTTACAATATAATGTTGAGTAGAAAAAAAAACAGATATGAAAGAGCACAAACCATATCATTCTATTCATATGAAATTCAAAAAATGGGCAAAACCACTCTATGATGTTAGGAGTCAGGACAGTGATTAGGCTTGGGAGGGGTAGGGACTATAATGGGGTTAGGGGAATGAGGAGGCCACTGCAGGGGGTAACGTTCTGTTTCTTGATCTGGGTACTGGTTACATGGATATATTCACTTTAAAAATTAATGGAGCATACACTTAACAATTTGAGTACATTTTCTGTATGTATATTGTATTTTAATTAAAATGTACAAAATTGGCCGGGTGCGGTGGCTCACGCCTGTAATCCTAGCACTCTGGGAGGCCGAGGCAGGAGGATCGCTCAAGGTCAGGGGTTCAAAACCAACCTGAGAAAGAGTGAGACCCTGTCTCTACCAAAAATAGAAAGAAATTAATTGGCCAACTAAAAATATATAGAAAAAATTAGCCAGGCATGGTGGTGCATGCCTGTAACCCCAGCTACTCAGGAGGCTGAGGCAGAGGGATTGTTTGAGCCCAGGAGTTTGAGGTTGCTGTGAACTAGGCTGACGCCACGGCACTCTAGCCGGGGCAACAGCGTGAGACTGTCTCAAAAAAAAAAAAGATAAAATGTACAAACTTATCACAAAAATGATTAATTTTTTTAAAATGAAGCCATGGGACTACATGCCCTTATATGGTCTCTTTTATCTCTATGGTCTCCTCCAACTCCCTGGGTGGCTCATGTCACTTAAAACTCCATAGGTCCTAAACTAGGCCAGTTCTGTCCCCAGGCCCTTCCTTAGGAAACATTTCTAGCTAAACTTGTGGAGCCCTTAGCCACCCAACAGCCAGCCATCCTGGCCCTGTCATCTTCCCTCAATAATTCTAATAGTCAGGGCTTTGGGATTGACAAGGTAGGATCATGTAGTGGTGAAGGATGCAGGTTCAAATCTCCACTCTGCAGCCAAATATCTGCATAATCTTGTGCAATTAGTTACCCTCTCTGTGCCTCAGTTTTCTATTCATAAAATGTGTCCTTGCCCTTCATAAGGTGGTTGAGAGGAGCAACAGAGCATAAATAAATAATTCAGTTCAGAGGGGGGGAAATGGGCATTTATTGAAACCTTAAAATCTGTACCCCCATAATATGCCAAAATAAAAAAAAAATAATTTAAAAAAAAATAAAAATAAAAATAAA